ATACTTCAACACGATTGGTTAGTTTACGAAAAAGGTCGCCATCCTTTGTTTTCAATTCATGTTTTGGTTGCATCCTTTTCTTCAAACTGGACGGCAGCAGCAGTCGCACTGTAAACACGTCAGTATACCAAACACAATCACGAAATTAAGTAAAATATTCGAAGGACAGTCTGATAAATTTTGGATTTATAATTGTCTGTGCATGATTTTAGAATTTCGCATGTGCATGGTTTCGTTTATTTCAAAATATTTACAGTAATTCTGTTCTTGCATTTGCTACGCAGTCTCTCGCCCATGCAATTTTGTTAATTTCATTGTTTTTCTGTTTCAGGCTTCATAATGTGAACGTGACGGAACTAGACGATGGTATATCGACTTATCTGTAATTTATTAACTTAAAATTAATGAACTGCCAAGGGCCCTACAATTCTACAGTCAACAAACGGCCACCTCCTTTCTACAACGTCCAGTCATGATCAATTATACCCCAAAGGTGCCGTTGTAGAGATGTTCAACTGCATTTGTTCTAAAATATTTTTTTCTCCAAGGATATGTTACAGTAGATGAATTTAAGACGATGAATTGCATGGGATTAATGGACTTGATGTCGGCAACGGCTCTGTCACACCCGCTGCACAGATCCCGATACAGTGATCAGACCTGGATCAACCAGCGAGCTTTGGCTGATTCAGTTTTAGATCAAATTACAGAAAGGTAAGCAGTCCATACTTCCCCTCGTAGATCAGTCGTCGAGCAAGAAGAGCCGAAAATAAAAAAATGGCCGCGCAAAAACTGTGGTCAAGGCGGGATGTAAAATAAGATTTTGCACGACACCATTTTTTTCCGGCTCGCTTTTTTTTAGCTTTTTTTTTTACAGTGACTACCTGAAGCCTATATAATTACAGTCGAACCTACCTCTACTAAAACATGTCGAAAACATACCTAACATTGTAGCCAGTTTCTGTCGACTGCTGTCCTTTACAGTGTCACTCTACTAACTCGTCCTAGATTTCTCTCATAAGAAGCTTGCGATCATAGTCTAATTGTTAATTAGCAGCTACTTTGCCACTGCATTGGTTGGTAGATTAATTCACACACAGGGACTGAACTGAAGCCATCTATCCTCTTTACTTTTGGATTTTTCAGAATTGTTGAACTTACCAGACTTTCTCGAGAAATCGTCTACGGCAGCGAAAGAATTCAGGTAACAGACAATTTCAAGGCAAATTTCGCCATCAGTTGAAAACAGGGCAGAAATACTGGGAGCAAAAACACACACAAAAAAACGAAATATTATCTCAAATAATTTTTGTTAAATTGTACTGTTATTCAATATTAATAGTCTGTAACTAAAACTAAAAAATCTAGAAAACGTAACCTCTTTTTGATGTGTCTAGTGTCTGTATAGTTAATATCTGTATTAAAAAATAGATAAGTAAGGTATAGGTAAGGTTATAGGTATAATAAGAATAATGGGTTAGGGTTAGGGGTAAGAATAATAATAATAATAATAGTTATATAGCGCACCGTCAGTGAAACGGTTAGGTATATAGGTATATATATAGGTAAGAATTGTATTGGTGAACGTAATAAAACATTTGTTTAGTAAAATCTTTAAACATGCACGTTACAGACTGTGAAGAATACTGATTTTAAACTTCAAATTTTACGGAACATATTTTGCACGGGATTCTGGTTTTTACAATAGATACATTGTATTTCGCCTCTTGTTTGCTCACTTTTCAATGTGGAGGATTTACCGTCAGTGAAAAGGTTAGCAATTTGTCAATGTAATCCTATTAATATAATAGGCTTGATTTCCGCAGCTCTCTCGACTCCGTACATTTCTCAAACAGACCAGTGACTGGTACTATTGAGCCTAATGCAATGGGCAATCAAATGGTGATTATAAATGGTTTAATAAAATATGTTTGTATGTGTTTGTACAGGTTGTCCGTTATGGGAAACACGGTCACTACCACGCCCATTTTGATTCTGAAACTGACAAGAGAACAGACAAAAGATGCTGCCATCTTCATGAAGATGTCGTAGAATATTTTCAAAAGGACGGGGGCTGTAGAATTTGTAGGTAGGGGTCAGTGTACGTTTTCAAGCTGAAATATTTGTAAGCGCGGCAGAGGGCGATGCGGCGTAAGCATACGTGGACGCATCTCGTAACAGTTGCTCCCGTTTCACATCTTCATCAGATACGCCACGGTCCTTTATTACCTGAATGATGTCGAGGAAGGTGGACAGACGGCATTCCCATTGGCAGATAATACTACTCGTAACATGAAGGTAAGATGCTATTCCGAGGTGGAGTGGGGTGAGGGCGACACATCACTGTCTTTTATTACCTGAATGATGTTGAGGAAGGTGGACAGACGGAATTCCCATTGGCAGATAATGCTACTCGTAACATGAAGGTAAGATGCTATTCCGAGGTGGGGTGAGGTGAGGGCGACACATCACTGTCCTTTATTACCTGAATGATGTTGAGGAAGGTGAGAGACTGCATTTCCATTGGCAGCCAATACTACTCGTAACATGAAGGTAAGATGCTATTCCGAGGTGGGGTGGGGTGGGGTGATACATCACTGTCCTTTATTACCTGAATGATGTTGAGGAAGGTGAGAGACTGCATTCCCATTGGCAGCCAATACTACTCGTAACATGAAGGTAAGATGCTATTCCGAGGTGGGGTGGGGTGGGGTGATACATCACTGTCCTTTATTACCTGAATGATGTTGAGGAAGGTGAGAGACTGCATTCCCATTGGCAGCCAATACTACTCGTAACACAGAGGCAAGATGCTATTCCGAGGTGGGGTGGACGGAAGATAACAAATCGAATTCCATATCCAAGAATGGACTAAGCCCGAGATTATAAGCATGCAGCGATGCTGCCGACTTGCACGACTGATTGGGTCCCGCTGACGTCACAGATAGCTCTTTCCAATTTGATGAAGCCTAAATGCAATATAGTTACTTCTACCACAAGAACAACAAGTTATTTACACTTAGAGTTTTACTATATATAGTGACCAGCAAGTAAAAGTACTGAATTAGTTAATCGTGGCGGGTTAGAGTAATTATAAGAAAAGCTCTACTTGAATTAATTTCAACAATGAAATAAGTTAATTACAAGAATAATTAAGTGCGAGTTAAACAAAGAAAAATTAATATGTTTATAACATAGAGGGCAAAATTACTGAATGCTGATTGGCTGAGACAGAGGGCATTTTTCATTAATTTTGGTTTGCCCGGGGCAAAATTACTTGATCCTGATTGGTCGAGCGACAAAATTCCTCGCTCCTAATTGGCTGAGCGCGCTGCACTCAGTTGGCTTCTTGACGGCGGGATTTTGAGCAGAATTTTCAAACACAGCGCTCGCTTGTACGTCGCTTCGGAGTTTGACTTCAGTTTCCCGAGTTATTTGATGAAAAAGGAACGGAAACCGTGTGATAGCTTGAAACGAAATTCCGAATGCTGAATCTCAGTGTTTCACTCGAAGCAACAGAAGATTATTTCAGTTGAAAACTAGAAAACTTGCATCAGCTAGACACTTGGCGAGTTTGCGACGAAATTCATTCATGGCTGCCAACGGACTTCTTCGCTTCACCTCTGTAAATACGGGCTTCATCACGTGCAACCCAGAGTATAAAAGATCACAGAGTTTGTTCAAAGAAAGAAGAAGGTCAAATTAAACCGGATAAATTACCTCTACAAGTTTGTTTGGACTCGTCGTTTGCTCACGGCTTTATCGATGTAGGATTAACATGTCAAGCAGCTCGAAGCGGAAAACCGGCTTCAAAACATGCAAACAGGTGAATAAAATTACGTTTTACTTGGCTTGATTGCAAGCTTGTTATTTTTTTTATTTTCACGACTTACAATTTTCTCTTAAGATTTACATAACAGTCAACGTTGCCCTGTTCTGAACGTAAAGGTTTGCTTGATCTTCCTGTGATTCTGTGTGATTTTTGGAAGGAATATCAGTTCGTTCCGGAAGGTTTTCCGAACATTTTGCCCTCTATGTCATAAACAAGTAATCGCATGTTTCCTCGTAAAATTAAGGATTAATATCACTTGTGTTTTCAGAAGTTGCAGAAATTGCCCTTGTCGCTGCGCGACTCGGGCAATTTCTGCAACTTCTGAAAACACGCGTGATATTAATCCTTAATTTTACTCGGCCCCATGCGATTACCTATACTAATAGTCAAAGACAAATGTTAAAATATGAAAATAAATGCAAAGAGAAATACGCAAAAAATAATTACAATAATGAATAAGTCAATTTCAAGAATAAGCCAGAGTGCAATAAAGAAGAAAAGGCCGACATCGGTAAATAGTCAAACTGGAAATTTTAATAAATTCGAATTTGCCAGAAGGGTTACTTGTTCGACAAAATTGGTTGCAAATGCTTTTAGGCTTAAAAACTATTTCATGTTTTCCTTAAGGTAGACGTTTGCCGTAATACCACAAAAATAATGATATGCACACCCATAGTTGAAATAACAAATATTGTTTTTGCCTTTTTTCATATAAGTATGTGACTTCAAGTCGAGGTGATCTGGACTACTTCAACCTCAGCCACAACTGTCACAAGGGTTTGGCAATCAGTCCACGGAAAGGAACAGCAGTCATGTGGTACAATCACTTTTTAGATGAAGAAAGTGGCTGGATGGGACCTAGGGACGAGTACAGTTTGCATGGAGGATGTGATATCCTGAAGGGAGAAAAATGGATCGCAAATCTCTGGATAACAGCGCCTTACAAAGATGGTGCTCATCTTCCAAGCTCGTGGCTTAGAAAGTTTGAATTTATTTAGAACTCAAAAATATGAAGTATGAGTTTAGACCTATGTTCTTCTGTAAAATACCTTAATAATAAATCACCACCAGATAAGTTACCGGAGTTTTAGAGAGAAACAGTCTAAACATGGAACATGATTATGTCTCTCCCTGAAAACAACTTGTAGTCTTGATTGAGTCATGGGATGGCAGTGTGGCCGAGTGGTTTAAGACGCTGGATTTGTAATCTGGAGATCCCTGGTTTAAATAATCTATCCTGCCACTAGCTGGAGTTGTTCTCGGTAGTCCCGAGTTCAACGTCTTGGCAACACTTTGTATATGTAAATAGCTAGCTGGTTTGCCTCCCACCAGTTGGAATTCTCAACAAGTTTGTGTTATAGGTTCCACAATATTATTAGTACAGCAGTGCTAAATACACCGACACTTAACACAAAGTCATAATCAAATTTAACAGTTTTTCAAAGATGCTTATAATCATTCATGGTGAACTTTATGGCGAAATAACGAAAAGTGCTCTTTTCGATGCCGTTATCGATCTTTTGACGTCACTGCATGGCTTATTCATATAAAAAAACAGGATACACTCATTTGTTTTCACCAAGTTTATTCCTCATATTGTCGCGACCTACAAGCTTTAGTGGCATATTATTTTCCCAGAGAAAACCGGAATACCAGTTTCACAAACTCATTAATAATTCATCAAGTGAAAACACAGGAAATCATAACCGTGTCGGAGCCGTTTGGATACCGTTTACTCCTTAGTTTTTGTATTGATTGAGTAAACAGTGTTTCATCCGATTTCCAAGCACCTCGAATTTCATCAAAACTCCACTGCGCGTCGTATTTTCAACCCTCTACTCGGTGTCTGTGGAAATCGGATGAAACACTCTCTAGACGTGATATTACATAACGTTCTGTGGAAGCAGGAGGATCATTTTACATAAAATGATTGCGACAGATAAAAAAAACAGTTGAACACATCTACATGATTGAAGACCTTCCTTTTGGTTTTTGCTTTATGAAATATTTTAAAAATGAGTTTGAGAAAAATGATTCTATTTTTGTCGAATACAATGCCTTTAAGGCGGGGGTACACGTGAATTTCAATGAAATTTTAAGAGGTTTAAAGAAGGGATAGAAGGAAAAAAAAAATTCGAACACCAACAGACAGTTGATACCCACGCGGGTGCTCTCGAGTGGGTATCAACTGTCTGTCAATTGTCAATCTACTAATTTTTAACTTCAAATTCTAATTTTAAAACTACATCAAATCTCAATATTTCTTTTTTCCCTAAATTTTACAACTCCTTTGAGAAAAACTCTTTCCTCCCAAATATACCCAAAAATCACCCAAAAATTTACAAAACACCCCATACTAGATTAATGAGATGAGCAGAGGGTTTTTGGATTGCTTGAAACGCGAACGAGATATTTCCATTAAACCCATGTTAAGTGGCGGAAAAATGGCATTCATGTGTACCCCGCCTTAAGGTGGCGCAGGACCCTTGCCCATGAATAAATTCATAAGCTTAATTTCTGGCGTGGGTGTTGTCTTCTAAACCTTCAAATTTCCGAATTTTGAAAGTCGATTCCGCTGAAACTTAATAGGGATATTGGCGGATGATGGAACTATATCATGATTGTGGTTTTTCTGGCAGATCGCGCTGTACGGTGATACGTTAAGCTTCTAAAGTTAGAATTGCGGACATGCAATTTTTGTGTCCAAGCTTTCAACTTGAGAAGCGTTCTAAATTAAATGTTTGTATTACCTAGTGGTAGATAATAACCTCTTTTGTGATGTGACAGAAGCAGATTTTGCAATTTCAAGACTCGTTGAAAGTTATTGCCTTCCAAAGGAGTAAAATTTGAAAATTAGAATTTGAAACGTTCTATCTTCTTTTTGAAAGGCTTTTTTGCAATTCCGCTTCTGTCACATCACAATACAGTACACTAAGTTTACCTTCCTCGTGTATCAATTCCTGAAATTATATATCCGCGAAGAAAGCTTGGACACAAAATAGCCGGTTTTGCCCCGTTCCGAAGACTGACCGAGTCAACAAAGTGTATGACAACAAAAGTTGTGAATCTAATTATGATAATTCGGGACATTGAATTGCACGTGCCGCAAAACTAAGAACAATAACTTTCTAATTATCAATACGCCGAAAACAAATTTTTTTGAATCGATTATAGTAACGTTATAACAAACACCTTCTCATGAATATTTCGCGTACGGTCGGCATCAGTCGTCACGGTTCGTGCATACTCTTTAAATAAATACATACATAATGAGAGCAAGGGTCCTGCGTCACCTTAACCATCAAAGCGTAAACAGCTGACAAATAACCTGCCCTTTTTTCTGCGCCCGTTACTAATAAAATGTGTTTAATTGTTGCTAACCCATAGATATTCATACATGTATCCATTTTATTATAAATTCAACTTTGTCATTTTGTAACTGACGGACAGTTGTCTGTCGAAACAAGTTTCTAAAATTAAGAGTGTCGTATTGTTTCTTAAATTTTGTACTTGTCTTCTGCTATCAAGACCTTTTAGAAATACCAAAAAAGTTAAAACGGCCAAAGTCCGGCACAATCAGCCCCCCCCCCCCCCCCCCCCTGAATAGAGTTTACGTATAAATTGGGCCAAGTGATATAAGTTATTATTAGAGAAAAAGAAAGGAGAAAAAAGTTTGATTATGGGGCGAAAACGATCAACCTTCACGTAGCAGATACCTGTATGGAATAATAGGCTGCTGACGAGTTACGTTCAAACAAAACGTGTGCGAATGTTCAAGGTAGCCTCTTGGACTCTTGTGTAACTCTTTGAATAAAACATGATTTCTTAACTCTGGAGGGGCTTGTTGTCTGATTTCCTCGATAAATTCACGCGACATATTGGTCAAATATCTTGTAGTTCTTTCATATCCACGATGCTTAGGATTACCAGCTGTGACGGCAGCATACAGGAGTGTTTGGCCTGGAAATTTCACCTCGACAGTGGCCACAACGTGTATGTTAATGCCGTACCAACTCAGGTGTTCATATTGTGTGGGATAGGGAAGGATGTGTTCAACAGCTTTATGGTGGAATGCATTAAATACGGAATCGAAATACACGGTGGGAAGAACAAGAGATGTGTCATTTATACCACACAAATCTTGTCTTCTGTTAAGCACAACGCTTGCTCCATGGTGAAAATTGTAATGCAATACTCCCACTGCTGGCTCGTAATCTAAAAGCCACTTCTCCACAACTCGCCACGGTGACAGCTTTGTCATATCGACAGGGGTAAATTCGTTGTACTTGAGAACCGCATCGTCGTCTAAAAATATGTAATAATGGTAGCCCGGTCTTCTTTCCATTGCGGCAAAAAAGAGTAAATTTCTTCCAGATATCCAGCCGGCATTCGGATCAAACAAATAGCTGACGTGTGAATGGTTGTATTCTCCACACTTGGCTCGCCAACTTAACACTATCGCATCGCAGTTGCAAGTCTCCGGATCACCAATTTGAGAAGAGGTCGCCAAGTTTGGAGGAAGGCATTTCTCGGTTTGAGTTAGATAAATGAATGGCTGTTTCATCCGTGGGGATCCGTGACGTTCCAAGTTGTAGTCGTAAAATTTACTGAATCGGTCGATGCCTTGAATAAATGTGATAATCTCTTTCACATAAATAACTACACCGACGATTACAACGGAGGCCGCCATCAATACAATTTTTCCCTTTAACTTCATTTCACTGTGGTGTTTACAGTGCGGCTACTATAATGCACCAACCAATTCCAGCTGTTGGCAGGGATTTTGTACAACAACGTGTTGCCCCGGGGGCCGGGTTGGGGGCGGGGACAACTTGACCGATCCCCAGATCCATGCGGTCGCCGTGTCAGTAAACAATGGAAGAATTCGCCGAGAAACCGACTACTTTTGTGGGCGATTGGCTTGAAAACCAAGGTATTGCAAAGTTAAAGAATTTGTTTGAAGGTAAGAAACACTTCTTGATGTGTATTTCAACGTAGGCTTTGATATTGGGATCTATATAAAGCGTGTCACGCTCTATGAATACACGTGGTGAATACACGGATCTTTTCGGTGATGTTGGTATGTTTTTTTAACTTTTGTAATTTTTGTTGGTTTTCTGTTGCCCAGGGGGCGGGGAATTTGTAGTTCCACGAAAAAAAAACATCCCGGGGGTTGGCCCGGGGGGGAGGATGGTAACAGCCGGAATTGATTGGTGCATAACACGGGGACAGATCTAGATCACCTTGCAGGATGGAAACGAACTTCCGTTGTTTGATCGAATCAGTTTTTAGTGAATACAACACAGTCTCAAATTGGAGTTAAAAGAAATTCTCAGTCAACTCTACAATATATGACACGCTGGCCGTGGTTTTCATTGTCTTCTTGCATTGTTGCCGAATATCTACTATTGCTTGGAAATCGGACTAATTATCAGACCATACTCAGCATAATCAATCAATGGGCTTTTATCACAGGCGGCCATGTTGGTAAAAACAATAGCTTTTTATTCCTCAAGGTCCCCCAATCCTCGCATTCAGACGTTTCACAACGAGTTTACGCGGGGTTTCAGATGCGGAAACAAAGGTTTTTTAAAATCCTCTGGGATTTAAGATGGCCCTAACCCTAACCCTAACCCTAGGTCCATTGCCATCGCCGATCAACAGTCAAGAATTTACATGCAAATAGGCCAATTTCGATATATTAAAATTCTAACTTGGCTCCCGCAGGCTTAGTGGAATAAAACAAAAGAAATTATTTATTCATCCCTCAACCTCGAAATAAAAAAAGGTCATATTTTCTGATGTATCCTTAATACGGGTGACTGGCAAAAAACGCATAGTTCCCTATAAGCTCGATTTTCGTATTATGGATCAGTAAACACGGCTCACGTCTTTACATACATACACACACACACACACACACATACATAAACTTTATTTAAACTCGAATTTACAGAGTAGCTCCTAGAGCTAACATCTTCGAGAGAAATATGTTATATGTCATATGTGATATGTCAACTCTACAATATATGACACGCTGGCCGTGGTTTTCATTGTCTTCTTGCATTGTTGCCGAATATCTACTATTACTTGGAAATCGGACTAATTATCAGACCATACTCAGCATAATCAATCAATGGGCCTTTATCACAGGCGGCCATGTTGGTAAAAACAATAGCTTTTTATTCCCCAAGGTCCCCCAAGCCTCGCATTCAGACGTTTCACAACGAGTTTATGCGGGGTTTCAGAT